TCCCTCTGCACACCCCTAGCTCCTGCTGTGTGCAGGGTGTCAGAGTATGCGAGTGCCCCGGGTGAATGGATGATTGATTGACCTTTGCTAATCACGAGCTCCAGGAGGAAGCGGCCCTGAGTCTGGGCCTGGGGGCCTGTGGCGGTTAAGGTCACCTCCAGCAGCCTTGCTCCCACCCCTTGCCTGCTTTGACTGGTGGTGCTAGCCTCCCCAGTGCCCCTGACCCCTTAGGAGGACCCCCCCAGCTGGCCACAGGAGTCCAAGGGGCATCAGGTGGACAGCTCCGAAACCCGAGCCCTGGCACGGAGCCCGCTGGAGGTTCAGGGAAGGTAAAGGCGCTTGCTTTACAATGCAGGCCTGCTCCACCTCCGGGGGCGTCATCTTTCAAGAAAGCACGGTAGCTGGGAGCAGGCCAAGCGTGCCTGAGCTCCAGGCCTGGGGTTGCTGTGCCAGCCTGGCCTGGGGGCAGTGACACGGGCAGCCCTGGTCCCATCTGGACACGACCGTCAGGATCTCTGCTTTTGCTCCTATGCGTGGGGGCGGGGAGTTGGGGACCCTGGTCTAACTGGACCAAAGCAAGTCAATCTGCCCCCACCAAGGATTCCAGCCCCACGTGGCCCTTGGGGAGAACTGGAGGTCGCCCGGCACCCAGCCCAGGACAAGGGCCAGGCTGGAAAGAGTGACTGGGGGCCAGTGACCGCGTTTCCCCAGTGAAAGGCTGACTCACTGCTGCAGGCCCGGGCTGGCTGGGACTCGGGCCGGCGGCCTGGAACACGCCTGGACAGCAGGCGCCTTGTCCATGAGAAGCCACAGGGGCCGGGGAGCCCAGGCTGCTGCCCCGGGAAACACTGGCACGCAGTGGCCTGGAGTGACCCTCCCGGGGTGGGGGTGTGGAGCTCAGGTGGGCTCCCTCCCAGCAGGAAACGCGAGCTCACAGAGCCCTACCCTTGAAGGCCTGGATCTCCCTCCAAACGGCGCGAGCTGGGTTCCAGTTTTGGGGGGGCACTGCGCACTGGGGGGAGTTTGTCTCTGAGGCTCAGCCCTCCTGGTGGCTGTGTCCGTTGTGACATCCAGGGTTCTCCAGCAAGGACTTTTGAGTCATGCATTGGTTTTCATTCTGGCTGTGCCATCTGCTTGCTGTGTGACCTTGGGTGAGTCAGTCTCACCGAGTCGCGGTCTCCGCCAGCGTGAAACGGAGACCGCACAAGAGAGCGTGGGCACGGCCCCTAGCACAGCTCTGACGTGCGTGGAGGAGACCTGCAGCTTCTGCCTTCACACCCTAGAAGAATGCTGGTCAGTCATTCACACTCTAGTCTGAGGTTCTTGCCTTCATTTAGTCAACAGCGTTCAAGCACCTACCACACAGCAGATCTGGGCTAGATGCTCCGTTTCCTGTAGAAGGACTTCTTTGCCTCCTCATGACAGCCTCTGCAGCATCAGCTGATTGATGAAACAGAGAGGCCAACAACTTCCCCGAGGACACACAGCAGAGCCTGGTGTTACTCGTTCCTTCAGGAAGCCCTGACTTTCTGCTCTGACCAAGCTGGACACAGAGGGCACAGAGGTGATGGAGTCGGGGGCCCCGTCTCAGGACCCCCATGGGCTGCTGAGTGTCCGTGCCCCGTTTTTGCACGTTTTGGTTCTGGCTGTGATTGTTGAAGTCCCTGCTGGAGGCGTCTGTGTGCGTGCAGGCAGGGAGGGCCCTCGGACGCACTTGGAATCTCGTCTCGTCCTGTTTTCTTGTTACAGAAACTACACCTGTCCGTGGTCAGACAAGGAGAGAAAACACAGGAGAGCAAGAATTCTGAAAGAAAGGAAAACTCTACGTCCTGCTCATGTTTTTGATGAACTGGCTGCAGGCCTTCTCCACTCATAAATACGGTGCAGTGAATCACGATCATGATAAGGACGACAGCACTTGTGTTAGCTGCCCTGGCGTGGAGCTGCCTGGAGCCAGTTCCTGCTCCGCTTCAGGGCCCTCAGTCCTCCCTGCAGCCCGGGGAGTTGGTACCTGTGGTCGTCACCTTACACCATGGCAACTGAGGCAGAAAGACAACATCTGAAGTACACCCGGACCGGTGTTGTGGCAGTGTGGGGTTAGCCGCAGCCTGCGACGCCGGCACCCAGTGTGAATACAAGTTTGAGTCCCAGCTGCTCCCCCTGTGACCCAGTTCACCCCTGTTGCATCTGGGGAAGCTCTCACGTGGGAGATTCAGGTAGAGTTCTAGGCTCCCGGCTTCGGCCTGGCCCAGCCCTGGCTGTTGCAGCCATTTGGGCAGAGAACCAGCAGGTGGAGGACCTCTCTCTCTCTAACTCTCTGCCTTTCAAATACACACACACACACACACACACACACACACACACACGTCTTTTTAAAGCACATGTATTCTCTTTTGGAGGTGGTGGCCGGGTCTCTGCTGCTGTTGCCGAATTCCTGAGCTCTGGAGCCCAGGAGGGCAGGGGCACGGCTCGTGCGTCCCAGGAGAGCTTCCACGCTCGCTTTTGCATCCAACGCCCTTTCTCCCCTGGGCCCGCGGCGCCCCCTCCCCGTGCTACCTCTGCCCCCTTGGCCGCCCTGACTCCCACTGAGGGCGACCACACAATGCGGAAGCTTCACACTGGCTCCTCGCGCTCGGCAACACGGCGATGGCTCCGAGGTTTGGCCGTGGCCCGCATGGCCAGTCCTGCCCACAGCGGGCTGACATCCCATTGCGCTTGCCTGGTGGTGAGCACGAGGGTGGCTCCCGTGCCGTGGGTGAACGTGCTGCTCTTGGCGTCTGTGTCCAGTTCCGGAGCCACAAGACCCTCTCCACGCTGCTCCTGGGGGGTCGCCCCGCTGTTGCCCACGGCAGCCGCAGCCCTGAGCGCTCCCAGCAGCAACTTCACAGCCTCGGGCCTCTCCACGGCCTCGACGAGGCCTCCCACTTTCTGCCTTTCTCGATCTTGTCATCACCCTGTCCCAGCGGGTACGAGGCAAGGCCTCGCTGTGGTTTGGATTTGCATTTCCTGGAGGGCTCAGCACCTCGAGCCTGTTTTCACGAGCTTTTGGGACACTTGTGTCTCAGACCCTTTGCTCATTTAAAAACTGGATCTGTTTTTGCTATTTCTGCCTCCTTCTATGTGTGTTTTAATCCCCCGTAGTCAAAAGATACAAAATATTATCTATTTTACGTCAAACTTTGGGAAACATGTTTTTTTTTTTTTCTTTTCTGGCAAGAGGACGGCTTTCTCTGTTTCTCTGCTTGAACTCCCCCGAGACCCCTGCATAATTCCCCACCCTCATGGTCGCACCCGAAATCCAGTTCCAGTACTAGGTAGCAGAGCTGACACAGTAACCGAGCTGAGGCTTCTTCCTTTTTGCGTCCATGGAGGTGAGAGTGGAGAGGGAGCGCAGGGCAAGGGCTTGGGAGCAGCAGGTGCAGCCGCCCCCACCCCCAGCCCAGCCCAGTAGCTCGGCGATGCTCACGCCCTGAGTTCCTCCCACCCCACCCCGGGAAGGGCGGGCCAGTTGGTCGGCAGCACAGGAAGCCTTCTGGGCTCCAGTCCAACGGCATCACAAGACTGGCGGGCCCAGCCACGGGACGGCCCTGTCCCCGTGTCCACCGCCAATGGGAGAGGCCAGGCCGGCTCATGTTCTGTGCGCTTGTCGGGCCAAACAGATGGCCTGGGATAAACAGGGGTGGCGCAGGGTGGGGGTGGCTCTGAGCGGGACCCTAGGGACGGAGGCCAGGGAGGGGCAGTGCCTGTGGAAGGGGCCATGTTTTGTGCCTTCCAGACCCGCGGCGGTGTTTTCTCAGCCACAGGGCTCTTGTTCGCATCAAGCTCTATGGCACGCAGGCGGGCCAGAAAGGAAGCTGTCCCGGCACCAGGCAGAGGTGCCCTGAGATGTCCCCCTCCCCAGCCCGAGGCAGGCCTCAGGGGACATGGGCTCCAGGGAGAGGGCGCTGCCGCCCTCACGGGACACCACATGGAGACCCAGCGCTTCTGTCTCTGCTGCTGCGGGGGCCCTGGGAACCTGGGGCAAGGCTGGCTCCGACCTGAGTCTCGCTGGCGGAGGCCTCAGGAAGGGAGCAGGCAGGGGCTGGCAACAGGGGCTTGAGGCAGTGTGGAGCTGGGCTCCTGCCCGGGGGCCCCCGCCAGCAAAGAGGCCTGAACGTCCACCAGCCCCGAGGGGTCCACATGTCTCCATGCTGCAGCACTGAGAACAGGAGTGGCGCCACCTGGGCCCAGGACCCTCCCACAGAACATGGTCCTGCTTGCGCTGGTGCCGTGGGCCTGCAGGGTTCCCCCAGGCCTCAGGTCTCCCTTGGCCCTGCTCCCGGCTGTGGGGCGGGATGTTTGCAACGAGTCAGGGTGGAGCAAGCGGCTTTGTGTAGCAGTTGGTGACTGCACCCCAGCACCGAGCACCCCCACCTCCCCAGGGCTCCTGGAGGTTGAAATGAGGTCACGTGTGTCCAAGCCCAGTCCCACGGATGCTCAGGTCAGCAGCGGTTCCTTGACAGACAGTGCTCCTCTCTGACCTCGACTTTCCTCATCTGTAAAATGGGCATATTGAACCATTTGTTTTATTAACAAATGAAACGGGACAGATGTGAGTATCTATCCTTCCCAGTTACTGCAGGAAATCGAGGCAAGTCACATCAAGAGCTGAAATCGGATCCAGAAGAAGGAAAGCGTTAGAAGCATGGCAGGAATAGCTGCACTGATCACTTTCACCGTGACTTCTCTTCTCCTTAGTTTAACGAAGAGGGCCGTGTGGTTTTACAGCTCAGCACATAGACTTCAAAGCCAGAGTGCCTCCGTGCGCATTCCAGTTCCCTGTGACCTCCGGCAGGTGACCCGGCCTCTCTGGACTGCACGTCGTCACCTCTGGGTTGGGAATGGCTGTGACGCTCACACTGCTGCGTGCGGGTTGCCCTGGGAAGCTCCCTGCCTGTGGGGCTACAGGAATTCACAGCCAGGGGCTTCGTGGACCCCATTACAGACCCCGCCTCGTGGTCGTGGCTGAGTGCCCTGGGCAAGCCACTTTCCCTCTGCGAGCCGGGTCTCAGGATGGCTGGGCGGGTGCTGCCGGTGGGAAGCCCCGCGGGGGGCTTGGTCCACTCCCGCTAAGCTGTCGCCGCCACCACCAGGCCCTGTTTCTGGGGGCCTTGCCAAGCTTCCCTGGGGATCAGGTTTCTGCTGACGGCCTGCCAGGCACGTCTGCTTCCAGGAACCGGAGCCGCATTTAGCCGCGGGCCGCACATGAAAGGGCTGCAGTGGGAAACGTGACGTGTGTCCACAGGCGAGGCGGGTCAGCGCCGGGTGAGACCCTCCCGGCGGCCCGCGGCCCGCCTGTCTGCGCCGCTACCCCCCCACCCCGCAGCCAAGGCCCTGGGTCTCCAGGGGGCGTGGCACAAGGTGGGGAGGAAGGGGCTCCCCCCACACCCCCGCACGGAGCTGCGGGCCAGGTCAAGGGCAACGTGGAAGCCCAGGGGGCAGAGAGACAGCTGTGAGGCTGGGGCGCTGGACAAGGGAGGGCTCAGCAGGGGCACTCCTGGCGGCCAGCGCCTGGAACCTTGCTGTCTTTTTTTAGCTCAGGTTGCTCCAACCACTTCCTCTGTCCCCACAACCCTCCTGGACTCACAGCCCATGAGGGAGTTTGGCCTTGATTTCAACATCAGCCTCCCTCACCCGGGAGGAACCTGCCTCGTCTGGGCTCTTATCAAAGGCGCTCCTGGAGGCAGGAGGCGGGACTCCGGCCACCTGCCTGACCCTGTCTGGTGGAGAGGGCTGACCGCCTGGCCTGACACCTGCCTGGGCTCGGGGCACAATGATACCTTCGCATGAGCACCTGTGGGGAGCCTCTGACATAGGAAGCAATGGTGTCCAGGGCCAGATGGTGCTGAGTCTCTGGGGGCCGCAGACTTCCAGACGGGTCTGGAAGAGGGAGACCCCACTCTGCAGGCTGCAGCAGGTAGGGCCGGGCTCCCTTGGGAGGGTGTACCTGACAGGGAGACCCCACTCTGCAGGCTGCAGCAGGTAGGGCCAGGCTCCCTTGGGAGGGCGTACCCGACAGGGAGACCCCACTCTGCAGGCTGCAGCAGGTAGGGCCGGGCTCCCTTGGGAGGGTGTACCCGACAGGGAGACCCCACTCTGCAGGCTGCAGCAGGTAGGGCCGGGCTCCCTTGGGAGGGCGTACCCGACAGGGAGACCCCACTCTGCAGGCTGCAGCAGGTAGGGCCGGGCTCCCTTGGGAGGGCGTACCCGACAGGGAGACCCCACTCTGCAGGCTGCAGCAGGTAGGGCCGGGCTCCCTTGGGAGGGCGTATCCGACAGGGAGACCCCACTCTGCAGGCTGCAGCAGGTAGGGCCGGGCTCCCTTGGAGGGCGTACCCGACAGGAATGCAGTCGCTCAAGGTGACAGGGAAAGGCCAGACTCAGCTGGGTCATTGTCCTCTTCGTTTCCCATGGAATTTCTTCTTTTTCAGTAAGAACACTTGACTAGGGAATGCCAGTATTCATCCACGCACAGTCCCCCAAGGAGAGGAAGTCTCGGAAGGATGCGGAAATTTCGGAACGCCTCCAGCAGCGACAGGACAGGATGTGGCGGATCCCTCAGACCTGCCAGGCGGGAAGAGCTGGAGTTCCCGGCGGATGCGCCGACTGGCCCCCGCGATCCCACACAGCCACCCCCTCGACCTGCCCACCACGGCCAGCCCCGCCGGCAAGCTGCCCACACACTCTGTGATGGCATCCCCTGGTTTCCCACCCAGCCCTCAAGGCCGTAACGGGAGCTGGCTGGGGGAAAAGCACTTGCTGATTAACTGTGGGGCGACGTACGGGGTGAGCACAAACTGCTGGCATGCGTAAATTGACAAACACGAGAGCAGCCGTCACCTACCGAGCTGACCAGGCTTACAAGGCCGTGAAAAGGTGAACGAAATCACACCGGGACACATGCCACAGACCATCTCTCTCCCCCACGGGAAAGGACTGTTTTATTCAGTATTTTTAAAGACTACTTAACGTTTACGCATAGATAAAAATATTTACAATTTCACACCTTTAGGAAGGCTTCAAAACATAAACACTGTACCTCTCCCGAGAGAAAGAAAAATTCTTCTCTTCAAAAAACAGGAACACATTCATTTTTCTCACTTTCTAGATCAAGTAATTATACAAATAAACATCTGAGACATTTTCCTCTTTAATATATTTATATAATATATATTTATAACAGCTTTACAAATAAAGGCAACTTTATACCAAAAATAAAAACAGGAAAAGAAAGTCCTAACACGATTGGTGACCAAGCATAGTGCATTTTGATAAGCTGGTGGGGGCTGGCTGGCCAGGTCAGGCAAGCGAGGACTCTGGGCCAAAAGGAACACTTCTTGGAGGCAGACAGGGTCCCTCCAGGCGGGAAGGACCCTCCTGGGCCATCGGGCAAGAGGGTCAGCCCACGAGAGATCGCGTTGTGCCAGGGCTCGTTAGGGCTTTGAGAAGCTAAGCTTGCTTACAAGGGGTTTTCGGAGAGAATGTGAAACTAGGCCTAGCTCTGCTAAAAGGCAGCAATTTGCCACGGAGCCGTGTGCACCGTGGGGCATCTCTCAGGCCCTGGTCTGGTTCCCTGGCCGGCGAGAGGTGGCGACTGTGCCAGAGGCCGGCGGAACTCCGCTCTGGCGCCCTGGCAAGCCAGCTGCTAGGAGAGCCTGAGCGGGGAGCTACACGCTCTGTGCTCATCCGAGGCAGGGCAGGGGAAACCGCCCCAAACCACCACAAGTCGTGCCAGTGTCCACTACCGCGCCCTGTGCTGTGCCGGGGAGCTGGCTCTGACGCTTGCAGCCGTCTGCTGAGTCACGTCGGCAGTAAGGGGAGAAGGGTGGGGTCCCGGCAGCTGGCTCGGAGCCGCACTCTGGAGAGCCCTGTGCAAAGTACCTTTTCCTCCAGGCCACAGACCCGGCTCCCACACTGAGGCGTGACTCACGGCGCAGGCACCCCGCTCCCCAAACCCTGTGTGATCCGTCTGCAAGGGGGCTGCCCTCCCCGAAGTCTGCCCCAAGCCCCTCCACTCCAGGTAGCGAGTGCCTGTCCCGCCTGCACCATGGGGGCATCCACACGCGGGCCCACACTTGTGCACACGCTCACCCCGAATCCACTCTGCACTCCAGAGGCCCCCAGCACACACGCGGGGGCTCGCTGTGCTCACAGACGGGACGAGTTCTGTGTTTTGGGAGGCAGGGAGGAGGGATGGCGAAGCGGTGGGATCCCGTCGGGGGTCAGTCTTTGGTTTCCAGGTTTAAAGGGGGGATCTGCTTCAGAGCTTGTAGTAGGGCGGAAGAGTCGACAGGGTGGGCCGGCAGGGGCGAGGGGAGTCTCTGGGGCAGCAGCAAGGGTGCCGGGAGCTTGTCGGGGTTCACAAAGCTGGAGAGGGCGGCGGCAGAGGCGTTGAGGCCGGGGTACAACACGGGCACGGAGGTGGGGTACCAGCACTTCTCTAGCATGGGCAGGTAGGCGGTTGCCGATGGGGGGATCAGGTAGAAGGGCAGGCAGAAGGGCGGCTGGTGCGGGTGGGGGCCCAGGAACGGGGAGCCCAGGAGGTCCCCGCCCACGAAGGGGCCCTCATCGTCCGATGACGGCAGCAGGCGGCTCTTCTTGGCGGGGGGCTCCTCTGACTCCTGCTTAATGGTGCCGACCCGCTCCGCCGCGGCGAGCCTGCGTCCGTGGTGACCACTCCTCAAGTGCGGCTGCTCCCCGCGCAGGTCGCCCTTCTCCGACTCTCCCCCGTAGCCGCTGTCCGTGTCAGTGTCGCTGCCACTCTGCTCGCCACTCGATGGCGCGAAAGTCCGCTGGATGACGGGTACGCAGTTCTTGCCGGGGCCTTCCGAGCCTCTGGCCAGGGACCCTGGCTTCTCCTTGAAGTCCACGGCTTTGGGAGCCGGGTCTGCCGGCTTCCTAGCGGTCCCGCCCTGCAGCAGCTCGGAGACCACGCGGTGCAGGTGCGCCACAAGCTGCGAGGACCTCAGGTCCCGGGTGTGCTCGTGTTTGGCCAGGTACTGCAGCACCTCCCGGGCACACGTCTGGAAACCCGAGCAGAACATCTCCTGGCCGGCTTCGACAGTCCGCCCCGACAGCTCACCTGGGGGAAAACACCCAGAGGGAGATGTTTCAGAAGGCCCCGGGGTGTCCCGGGGCACCCACGCGCCAACCACCGGGGGCTTTCCTCAGGGTTTAACGCAGCACCTGCTCACGTGGGTTCCCACCTCCCAGAGTAACGTGCTCAAAGGAAAATTACACTAAAAAAAGAATACAGGGGCCAGAGCTGCGGTGCAGCAGGCTAAGCCCCCGCCTGAGGCGCCAGCAGCCCATCTTGGCTGCTGCTCTTCCGATCCAGCTCTCTGCTGTGGCCTGGGAAAGCAGTGCAAGATGGCCCAAATGCTTGGGCCCCTGCACCCACATGGGAGTCCCGGAAGAAGCTCCTGGCTCCTGATCCATTTCGGATAGGCTCTGGCCATTGGGGTCATTTGGGGAGTGAACCAGTGGATGGAAGATCTTTTTCTCTCTCTCTCTCTGTAACTCTACCTCTCAAGTAAATAATAAAAAAAATCTTAAAAAAAAGAACAGAGTAAAAATGACCCACAATGCTGCCACCCAGAGACACAACGTGATTTTTAATGTCCACAGAACTCCCCATCACAGAAATGGGCCGTGATTAACAGGGCCAGACTACACCTTCTCCGGCTGAGTTGGCAGGTTGTGCCCAAGTTTGCATTGTGACACGGCAGTCAACGTTAGTTTACAAACCTAAGGGCCAGTTTACAGAACGCCAATATCATCGTAGCAAAATGCAGACCAGAGAGTTACGACAGGAAGCAAAGAACGAAGGCGCACCGTCTCCTACAGGAAGCTGACACCCAACGCAAGCAGCACGCACGTAAACTCAGACTTGGCTCTGAGTCTCCCCATGTATTTTATTCATGCTCCCCCAGGAAGCAGGTGCGTCACTTTTGCATTTTGAAGAGATTATAGCCCCTACTGGGTCTGGGGGATTCTTATGATCCCAGCCTCGGAAAGCAAGGCACAGAAGTGCGCCATGAGGGAGTGGGCCCAGGCGGCGTCCCCAGGCCACAGGGTTTGGAAGCAGTCAGACTGGAAGGTTGGAAGGTGACGGATTCTCTGGAAGTCAGTACAAACGAATGATGAAACTGCAGCGGTTTCGTTAGATTGTGCAATATCCCACGATACCTGGTGGCTATTCAAGGAACCACATGAAGCACAAGAAAAACTTCTGCTGTGGCCTGGCCAGGATCACGCCAGGAGGGGGAAGCCAGCAAACAGGCAAACACGGAGGGCATCCCCGTGATCTACTCCCCAGTGAGGGAGACGACGGCGAAACACCCGCCATGCAAATTCTAGGTGTCCTGGCATTTGCAAAGGCACTGGGGGAAATCTCCCGGAACTGGCTCTGAAGCCAAAATGTCACAGAAACATCTTATCACTCGACTGATCCACATGCACGCCGGGCAGCACCCAGCGAGAAGCCTGACCTTTGAGGACAGGGAAGGGGCACACGCAGTTTGCCGCGGGCGTGGGTCCTGCACCCCAGGCTGAGCCCCGGGGGCACTCACCGGCCTGTAGCCCGCTCTGCAGGGCCATGATCTGCTGCTGCTGCTGGTCGATCAGGCTGGTCAGTGCCTTCACGTGCTTCAGGGTCAGCTCCAGCACCACCGCCTTCTCCAAGTGGCCCAAAGTCTGAAATTAAGAGAGGGGTCGGCGGTGAGGGCGCGAAGTCCCCACTCTGGGACATTTACGAGCAGTGGGAAATGTCTCTGAAGGAAGTGAAAGAAAAAAAAAAACCTTTCCTCGTTGGCTAAATTTAGTTTTATGGCCGTAGATCGAGGCTTCACAAAGACATCTATCAGTCCACTCACAGCCCCACCATCGGAGCAAAGATCCCACAGCAGAGGCATTCTGGAAGTGGCAGCTACCCGGGACACATTCCCCCAGCAGCCGCAGCTGACCTTAGCGCGGGGGGACCGGCGGATAGCATTTCCCTGCAGCGGTGTCGCCCGGGCAGGGACTCCTGCACCTGGCAGCCAGGACACTTTCGGAGGCTTTTTCCTGACACCCTAGAACCATCCAAGCTTTTCCCTCCCTCCTTTTCCCAACCGAAGGCTGTCGGGCCAGAAGGCTGTTGGCTACGGTCCAGCCGGGACAGGATGGAGAAATCACACAAGTCCCTTTATTTTTAAAAAAAGGCAAAGAAAGGAAAGAAAGTTTAAAGAAAAACAATTTTTTTTGCATGTTGTCCCGTTGCTCCTTTTAGGCAGGAAATATGGAGAACCTTGCAAGTACGCAGCAGGCCGTCTTCAACTTTATAAAAAGTAAGGCCGGCTGGTGTTGGGGGCCCACGTGGGTGGAGAGCTCCGGGAGGGTCTCCCTTCCTCTGCGAGGAGCTGCCAGAAAATCCCAGGGACAGGGCAAGGCGCCCCCCCTCCGCCCGCTTGGAGTCCCCCTGCCAGCTCGGAGTGGGCCTGCGGGCCGCAGTTCCTCGCGGGGCCTGCAGGCGGCGAGTGACCCCCGCCCGCGCCGGGGCAGCGGAGCGCGGCTGGAGAGGCGCCAGCTTCTCGCTTACTGTAAGTTTGAGATGTTCGGGCAGCAGGTCCTTGAGCTGCGCGATGCACTCGTTAATCCGGTCACGTCTCTTTTTCTCGATGAGCCGGTGCGGCAGTTTGTAGGTCTCCTGCGAGGCGCACGGGGGGCGGTGAGTGCGGGGGGCCGGGGTGCGCAGCCCCCCCTGCTCGCCGCTCGGGGACGAGTCGGCGGGCCAGCAGCGCCTCGCCCGGGACCGCCTTCTACCCCGAGCTTCCCACGCCGCTCTGCGGCCGCCCCGCGCCCACCCCTCGCCAGCCCCACAGCCAGAAAACTTTCCCTGGGGAGCCGGGGCGCGGGGTCCCCGCGGAGACGCTCACCTTGCTGTCCTCTCCGCGCTTGATTCCCCGCCTGGACTTGTACACTTGGTACATGTGGGCGAAATCCATCCTGCAGGGAGAGGGACCGGGGTGCGGGGCGGGGGTCGTGACTCGGCCTGAGCGCGGGCTGCCGTTCCACGCTGAACGCGGTGCGGGACGCGCCGCGGCCCGGGGAGGGGAGCGCCTGCTTACCCCGCGAGGTCTCCGTGCTCCAGCCCCGGCGCCTTCGGCAGGCAGGCAGGGGGCGGCTGCGCGCTGGGGATCCGCTCCATGGCGCGGCGAGCCGGGGCCACTGCGCGCTGCTGTCCGGGTGAGGACCGTCCCGGGAGGGGCGAGGGGCGAGGGGGTCTCTCCGCGGGGCTTCCTCCGAGGCTGCGCTGCGCTGCTGGGGGCCGCGGCTCGGAGGTGCTGCTTCAGTTGGGGGCGTGCATGGCCGGGGTCTCCGCCGCCGGCTCCGGCTCCGCGCGCTCCCGGTGCGGTCTGCGCCGCGCGAGCCGAGTGAATGAGACGCGGGGCGGGCGGGGAGGCGGCAGGCGGCGGGGGGGCGAGCGCGGAGTAATGGAGAGGCCGCGGGCTGGGTTAAATGGGAGCGAGTGGGTGGGTTGGAGCTACGTGTTCTACCCTGTGACTCCAGGCACGTCTGGCCGCTGCCGGGGAGGGAAGGAGCGCCCTGCCCGCCCTCCCCCGCCGTCGTCACATGAGTCTCACGTGTCGGACAGCGCTCGGCGGCCGCGAGGGAGCCCCCTCCCCCCGGCCCGGCCCTGGCCCCCAGGTGTCCGCGGCTGCGGCCGGCCTTCCGCGAAGAGGGGGCGGCGGCGCGGCCGGGTCGTGCCCGGCCGGGTGGGGGGCGCGCAGGCTAGGAGCGGGGGGAGGGGTTGGCAACGTGGGCGAACCTGCCCCAGGGAAATGAAGTAAGTTCCCGTCTCCTGGGAGGGGACGGGGGAGGGCGGATCCGCCCGCGTCTGACTCAAGCCGGGAGAGGAATATCCCCTCGCTCGCAGCGGCCCGGCCGTCTTCCTCCTCCCCCGCCTGGCCCGCGGCGAGCAGCCGGCGCGCAGCGGCGGGGAGTCGCCCGGCCCCCGGCCCGGGGTTTCTTTCCGTCCCGCGTCCCTGCCCCCACCGCTCGGCGCTGCGTCCAGGAATTGCCCGCCTTGGGGAGGAACCGAGGGCGGGGCGGATGTCACCCCATGGGAAGCTGGCGAGCGGCCAGGCGCGGGGGCAGCCGAGGCCGCCGCCGAGCACGCCGCGCGCACCTGACCCGCGAGGGTGTGAGCCGCGCGCCCCTGGCTGCCCGGGAGCCCCGCTCGGGGCCACGGCCCGCGGGCGCGCACCCCCTGCCCCCGGGGGCCCGCGCCCTGCTGGCCGAGCGCGGAAGGGCCCCCGGCGCGGTGCCCGCCTGCCCTCCCTCCGCGCGCCCCGGTCGCCTCCCTGCCGGCTGTGGCGTTATACAACCGCGGCGGCGGCGGCCCTGGCGCTTCACGTGGCTCAGCGACGACCGCGCCCTGCGCTGGGTCGGGGACCGGGCCGGGACGCGGCGTCCGGGCGCCAGGAGCCTCGCGCAGCCCCCCGGCCCTCGCCGGGAGGTCCCAGCGGCCACTTGGGGAACGCGGCTGCGTGGAGTCCGCTGCCCTGGGCCACGGTCGTGCGGGTGCCCGGAGACGCGTGCGGAGCTTACACCCAAACCCTGCCCTTGACTGTACGGGCACCTGCGGGAAGGGGCCAGGCGGGCGCGCGAGGAGGAAGTTACCTCGGGACCACCCGGGGAGAGGAAAGAGAAAGTCAAGAAGTTATTTCTGTGTTTTTGTTTCATATTTTTAATGCCGGCCAAGTTGCCTGGGAGGAGGAAGCGGCGTGGGCGTGGGGGAGCCGAGCGGCCCCTGGAGCGCGGGGCGGAAAGACCCGCAGCTGCAGTGCGGGGCGCGCAGAGCCGGGGGCGGCCGGCGGAAATTCGTGGCTGCCCGGCGCCGGCGGGGGCGTCCGAGCGGCCTCTGCGCCGCCCCGCGCCGCACGTGGACAGGCGACTGCGCCACTGCCACCCTCGGCAGTCGCAGAGCGGCGCCCCGGGGTCGCCGGCGGCGCGGCCCTGGACAACCTGAAGAGCCGGATGCGTGCGCTGGCTCCGCTGGAGGCGTCCTGCGCTTCCTCCGGGCGGCCCCTGGGGGCTCGCGCTGCCCTGGCCCTGGCGTCCAGCTGGCCAGCGCGTGTGAGAAACGCCTGCTCCCTCCTCCTCTTCCTCCCTCCCCCACCCCCGGCCAAATGTGGCTGAGGGAGCGGGGCAGGCTGGAGCCCCGGGTGCGCGCTCTAGCGTGGCCACTCCGTGCTGCGTGGGAGCCGCGGTCCACCGGGAAAAGCCGCGCCCCGCGCCCGCCGCCGGCTGGTCGCGGTTGCGCCACGTTTTACCCTCACCTGGGCTACAGGTGCGAGCACCAGGACGCACATGCGCACTCCTCCTGGCTTCCAAGTGTGCTCGCCAGCTGCAGGACTGCCCCATCCTGCCCAGATTCTACCGTGTCCGTGTTAGGAGAGCCTGCTCTGCGCACAGCTCACGGCTGCTTTCAGAATCAACCCAGAAGAGTCCCTGCGCCGTGGGGCCGCGTCCCGCTGGCCGCTTCTGTGGTCAGCTGTTGGGTGCTGACTTTGGACTGGCTGTCAGAGGGGAGCTGAGAACTCCGTGTGTGGCTGTTCGCTTACTGCTCCGCCGCTCTTGACGGAAGGCGCTAGCATGAGCTCCATTTACCAGATCTGGGTCCTGGAGGGGGCATTACGCACCCTCCCCGGGAAATCGCTGCCTAGGGAGTTACGTAATCTGCCCCGGCTGCAGTACTGTGGGACGAGATATGGGGCAAAGCCCCACGATCGCTGGACTCCAAACCTGGTTCTCCTGAACCCTTTCTGTGGGTGCCTGGTGGAGTTGTATGGGTCCTGCACGGCTCAGCTCCTGGGGGCGCCCTTGGCTTTGCAGCCTCTGTGAGAGCGCCCCCTGGAGGTGTGCAGTGCAACCCTGCGCGCTGCGCTGGGTGGGCATTGCCGCCCTGTTGTAGCCATCTGCTCTGGGTTGTCTTCTCAGCTTGGAGATAAAGTCGTTTGGCTCAAAGAAGGGTGGGTTTTACTTTTCCTGGAGGGGCTCTTGCGAGGCCGATGCTGTGTGTGGGGAAGGGTGCGCTACGGGAGGTGCGGCCGGAAGTGCCACTGCTTGCTCAGGGATCTCTGTTTCCCTTTTATGGAATCGCAAACATTGTAATCACAGCTCACAGTGAGGAGTACAGTTTACAGTGTGACAACACACGCACTAAGAACAGTGGAGCGCCAGGTGGCTGAGGCGTGGCCCCACCACTGCCCTCTCTCTCCTATGCTCCAGAGGAATCTCTGCTAGCTTTACAGCCAAGTCGGACTGCGGGGGAGAAGGCGGTCCAGAGCTCTCCAGGCAAACATTTCTCAAACCAGTGCTTCCCCTTGGTGCGTGCGTCCCGACCTTCAGGTTGGAAGGACGGTTCTCTGGTCCTGACTGGCTTCACAACACAGCAGTAGGTCCTGAGCCACCCCACACCAGGAATGGAGTTGGAGTTTGGGCTTGCCCCCCAGCATTGAAGCCCCTCAAATCGGCGAGGAAAGCGTGCATGGAGCCCACTGGGCCTGCCGGGTCGGTGGCTGTGTGAAGGCTGTGCGACTGCGTGCCCTTTGTTCCACACGTAGAGGCATCCTCTTCTTTGCTTCTTAGAAATGATAGCTGTGCCTCCTTGTTCTACAGAGAGAAACACCCAGACCTGAAATGTTTGGTTTCTGAGTGTAGCCCCTAATCCAAAACAAGGTACAGAAATAAATATGTGAATAGTTTCATATCCATCTACAAACATACATCAGCAGCACAACAAAACAACAAACTCCTTCTCCTAAACAAAGCTTCAGGTGCAGGTGGCTTCCCCATTTAAGGCACAACCAGAACCAGTCCTGCACAGCCTCCCTCAGAAAACTAGGAATTCCCACCATTTTATTACCCCAGAAAGTTCCATCACGCTCCTCGCAATCAAGCCCTTGTGCCCACTTTCTGATTGCTCACCGTGGAGTATTGCCCGTTACTGGGTTTTCCTGTCTTCTGAGTAAAATTTCTGTCACTTCGTTTGCTTTTGAGGTCCTGCCCTTTGCTTGTAGAAGGCGTTTGTTCTTTGTAAATTGCTGAGTGTACACACACACACACATACACAACACTATCTAGTCCATTGTTACAGCAGACGGGTGCTGTCCAGCTGGGTTGTTAGGAATGCATCTGCTGATTACTTCCGAGTACAGATCTTTTTTGTGAATGCATGTTTTCATTTCTCTCGGATAAATATTAGCAGTGGAATTCTTGGGTCAGGGGTTGAACATATGTTTGACATATATATATATATGGCCAAGCACATCTCGGAGAGGTGTGACCACTCTACAGCACCGCCAGCAGTGAATGAGAATTCTTTTCTGCATACCCTCACCAGCCCTTAGTGTAGACAGATCTAAAAAAGACTTTAGCCATCCTGATGAGTGAAGTGATCTGGGACAAGATCATTTTAATTTGCATTTCCCTGGTGATGAGGGAATTTGGCCCCTTTTCTTGTGTTATTTGGCCAGTGGTATGTCTTTTTGTGAAGTAGTTGTCAGATGTTTTTACTTAGTTTTTAAATTGGATTAGTTGCCTCTTTTATTTATAGAAATATAACCCAATTTTGTTTACTGACTTCATCTCCTGCAGCCTTGTTTTTTTTTTTTTTTTAAGATTTTATTTATTTATTTGACAAAGTTATATAGAGAGGGAGAGACAAAAAGGTCTCCTCACTCCCCAAATAGCCACAACAGCCAGGAGCCAGGAGTTTCCTCCAGGTCTCCCATGTGGGTGCAGGGGTCCAAGGACTTGGGCCATCTTCTCCTGCTTTCCTAGGCCATAAGCAGAGAGCTGGATCAGAAGGGGAGCAGCTGGGACTTGAACTGACGCCCATATGTGATGCCAGCACCACACGCAGAGGCCTAGCCCACTACGCCACAGCACCAGCCCCAGCCTTGTCATTTTATTGTTGAGTTTTTGGAGTTACTTACCCGTTCCAGTTAGAAGTCCTTTGTCAGAAATAAGATTTTGTGAATGATGTCTTTTTTTTTTTTCATTTGACAGGTAGAGTTATAGACAGTGAGAGAGAGAGAGAGAGAAGAATGATGTCTTTCAATGAGTAGCATTTTTTAATTGGGATAAAGTCTGATCTGTCAGTAGTTTCTTTTGTGGTTTGTATGTGTGTGTCTTTTTCAAAAAGAAGTTTGCATGACTGAAGTCATAAAAGATATTTTCTTGAGTTTTCCCCTAATCACTTGATACATATGACTCTAGTGTTTAGGCCTAGGATCTGCTTTAAAATTTGTTTAGAGAGTGAAAGAAGATTTTAGACCCTGTTTTTTGTCCAGGCAATAATGCCTTCCCGGTGTAACCGACTTCAGCCATTTCTCGTGGCTCTGTTTATTGGCTTCCTATCTTGTCCAAAGATGTGTCTGTCCAGTGCCACCATGATTTCACTTTCTTGACTATTGGAGCTTTATAGAGCTATTGAAATTGGCTGATCTAACTCTTCCAACTTTGTTCTTTTTAAAGCTTGGATTGGCTTTTTTTTTGGGTCCTTTGTATTACCTTATAAATTTTAGATTCAGCTTTTTTCTTTACTCGGATTTGTTTGTTAGCATTTTCATAGAGATCACATTGAATCTGCAGATCAGTTTAGGAAAAGTGGAGACTTCAACAACAGTACCTCTTTCTGTCTATGAATGTGGGACATTTTTCTGCTTATTTAGGTTTTCTTCATTCCATTGAGCGGATTTGATTTATTTGGGGAGACTATATACATATTTTGTTAGATTTATTCCTAGCTATTTGATTTTTGATGCCACTATAATTTTTTCATTATTAATTGTTGATATTGAGTATATGCAGAACGTAATGAATTAAAATTTTATTTTTCTTTTCATTTCCTTGGCAAAGCAGAGACAGTCAGAGAGAGAGAGAGAGAGAGAGAGAGAGAAATCTTGAATCTGCTGGTTCTCCAAATGTTCACAACAGCCTGGGCATGCTGTTGCCTGCTGAAGTCAAGAGCCTAGAAATCAATAGGAAATAGGAGTCTGCCACATGGATGGTAGGGACTGAAGCACTTGAGCCATCATCTGCTGCCTCCCAGGGTGCAGGTTAGCAGGAAGCTGGAAGAGAAGTGACATAGTCAGCTCTCCAGCTGTGCACCCCAGGTGGAATGTGGCATCCCCAGCAGGGACTTAGCCGCTCAGTCACACACCCGCCTCTGCGGTTGATTGCTGTATGGTGCTCTAGTATCTGCAACCTTGCTAATTCATTTACTGAGTCAAATGGTGTTTTTGATACAGTTCTTTTCATGCACAAAGACATTGCCTGTGAATAATGACAGCTTTCCTTCTTTCCTGATCTTGAAGTTTTTTATTTACCATTTCTTCCTTTTTCTCAAAAAAAGATTTATTTATTTACTTGAAAGAGTTACGGAGAGAGGGAGAGGCAGAGAGATCGTGCATTGGCCAGTTTACTCTCAAATGGCCAGAACTGCCTGGGTTGGACCAGGCTGAAGCCAGGAGCCAAGAGCTTCTTTCAGGTCTGCCATGTGGGTGGCAGGGGCCCAACACTCGGGCCATCTTCTGCTGCTTTGCCGGGTGCATTAGTGGGGAGCTAGTTCAGAAGTGGAGCAGCTGGGACACGAATGGGTGGCCATATGGGATACCAGTGTTGCAGGTGCGATCTTACCCACCACGCCACAGCACCAGCCCTTTATTTACCTTTCCTTGCGTTAGTACTGAGGCTAGGACCTCTAGGGTAGTGTTCAATAGAAATCCCAAGAGCCGTGGGCCAGTGTTGCAGCACAGGAGACCACCCCACCACTTGTGGTGCTGGCATCCCATGTGGTCCTGGCTGCTCAGCTTCCCACAAGCTTCCTGCTAATGTGCCTGGGAAGGCAGAGGCTGCTGGCCTGTGGGCTCAAAACCCCTGCCAGGGTTTTTGAGTACTTTATTATACATAACGATAGGGAAGGTTTAAAATAAAAAATACTGTCTTCACAGACAAACTAGAAAAAGGAGAGCAAATTAAATACAAAATAAGTAGCAGAAAGGGAATAAGTGAGAGTCAACAATAACTAATAACAATAACTAAGTCAACTAATAACTAATATCTATGTGGGAGACCAGGATGGAGTTCTTGGCTCCTGGCTTGGACCATGTGGACAACGATCCAGCAGCTGGTTCTCTCTCTCTCTCTTTCTTCCCTCCTCCTCTTGCTCTCTCGGATGCTCTCCTTTTCAAATAAATAAATCTTAAAAAAAGGGGGTGGGGGGTTGTTATCTTTGCCTTCTCAATGTTTAATCAGCGAAGCGTTCAGTTTTGTCAATAAATAGGAAATCACATTCATCTTTTTCCATCCGGTCTGAGGAAGTTTCCTATGCTACTTTGCTGAGAAATTTGTCATGAAAGGATGTTGAATTTGTCAAATGCTGTGTTGCTACCTTCAAGGAGACAGTTCTATGAGTCCTCTCTTTTGTTCTGTTAATATGGATTGCATTTTCGTAGTGTTAAGCTCACCTCGAATTTGTGAGACAAGCGTGTCTTGATCATAATGTGGTCTCCTTCTTTTTACTGCTGTGTTTTATTTGCTGCCAGCTGTTCAGGATTTTCGTGCCTATGACTAAGAAGGTATACCTGTGCAGTGTTTCTTTTCTCATAATCCTTGACAGGTTTTAGCATGAGGGTAATGCTGGCCTCACACGGGAGCTGGGAAGTGTCCCGGAGTTCTGAGGGGGACTGGACAGGAGTGTTTCTTTCTCTTCCTTGCATTGAGAAGATACTTGTACCTCAAATTTTCCCAGGGGAAGGATTTTTTACTGTAAATGTATTCTTATTAATGGATATCAAGATGGTTACTTTTTTTTGTTCTTTTGTCACTTGGTGTTTTTCAGGAAATTTGTCTATTTCATTTAAATTTGTCGCTATATTGGTGTAAAGTTCTGAATATCTGTACAGTCTTTAGTGGTAGACATGTTTTCAGTTTTTATAATTTTTGTTAATCTGCATTTTTATGTTTTCCTTCATCATCTTGATACAGCATTTTGTCAGTTTTTATTGATCTTTACGAAGATCCAAAGTTTGATTTTCTCTGTTATTGGTTCATCTTACAGTTTGTTGACTTTCTCTTATTCCCTTTTTGCTACTTATTTTGTATTTAATTTGCTCTCCTTTTTCTAGTTTGTCTGTGAAGACAGTATTTTTTATTTTAAACCTTCCCTATTGTTACGTATGATAAAGTACTTAAAACTAAAACCTTTCTTTTAAGCACTACTTTCATAGAATCCTAGACCATTCGCTTTTCTCATCATTCAGACTGAAATGTGTTCTAACATTCTTCATGATTTTTGACTCATGGATTATTTAGAAGGGTGTTGTTTAATCTGCAAACATTTGTGAATTTTTCTGGTACGTTTTTCTTTTCATTCTGAAATAATTATAAAGCCATAAAAAGCTATAAAAATAATACAGAGAAATTCCATCTATCCTGTGCCCACTTTTTCCTGGTTTAACATCTTCTGTAACTGGAATGTACTCTTTTTTTTTTTTTTTTGACAGGCAGAGTGGAGGACAGTGAGAGAGAGAAAGGTCTTCCTTTGCCGTTGGTTCACCCTCCAATGGCCGCCGCGGCTGGCGCACCGCGCTGATCCGAAGCCAGGAGCCAGGTGCTTATCCTGGTCTCCCATGGGGTGCAGGGCCAAGCACTTGGGCCATCCTCCCCTGCACTCCCGGGCCACAGCAGAGAGCTGGCCTGGAAGAGGGGCAACCGGGACAGAATCCGGCGCCCCGACCGGGACTAGAACCCGGTGTGCCGGCGCCGCAAGGCGGAGGATTAGCCTAGTGAGCCGCGGTGCCGGCCTGGAACGTACTCTTGAAGCCAGGAAATCAGTCTTGGTACAATCCAGAGGCTCACGTTCCACTGACTCTGTTCGTGTGTGTGTGTGTGTGTGTGTGTGTGTGTGTGTGTGTGTGTGTGGTTCTGTGCTGTCTTACCACTGTGAAATTCATGTAACCACCGCCATAATCAAGATGCAAAATTTTTCTACTGCAACACAATTCCCTGTTGCTGTCCCTGCACATCACCCGCGTCCCCTCCCCCTCTCCAGTCCCTAGCCCCTCCCTGGTGACCCCTCATTTCCATCTGTGTGATTTTATCACCTTAACGATTTCCATCAGTGGAATCATACAGTTTGCAGCCTTCTGAGATTGACTTTTTATTAAAATTCTTTAATTAATTTTACTTTTTTGAAAGGCAGAGAAATCTCCCAACCACTGGTTCATTCCCCGAATGCCTTCAACTGCCAAGGCTAAGCCATGCTAAAACCATCATTCAATTCGTGTGGAGTCGGGATCCAGAGCCGGTACTGAGACCAGGCACTCTGGCGTGGTGATGTGGGTGACGCACACAGAGCTTTATCCCTGTGCCAAACCCAGCGCCTCGCTGTTAACTCAACAGAATTCTTTTGCGATCCATTCACGTGGTTTTGCGTATCAGCAGCAGGTTTTCATTGTGGAGCAGTACTCCCTGCATGTATGTCCTGCTGCTGTCTTACCTGGTCACCTGCTGGAGCACATTTGAGCTATTCCAGTCTGGGGCTATTAGAAATAAAACCGCTGTGAACACTTGTGTGGGAACTTTTGTGTGGATATGCCCAGGAGTACAGCCGTTGAGTCCTGTGTTAAGATATGTGTCCTTCTGTAAGATACAAGCTATTTTGCAGAATTAGCTGTACCCTTTTACGTGACCATCATGTGTACGAGTGATCCAGTCTCTGAGCATCCCTGCCAGACTTGGTATTGTTCTTATGTTTTTTAAAGATTTATTTATTTATTTGAAAGTCAGAGTTACACAGAGAGAGGAGAGGCAGAGAGAGAGAGAGAGAGAGAGAGAGAGAGAGGTCTTCCATCCGATGGTTCACGCCCCAGTTGGCTCCAACGGCCGGAGCTGTGCTGATCTGAAGCCAGGAGCCAGGAGCCAGGAGCCAGGAGCTTCTTCTGGGTCTCCCACGTGGGTGCAGGGGCCCAAGGACTTGGCCATCTTCTACTGCTTTTCCAGGCCATAGCAGAGAGCTGGATTGGAAGAGGAACAGCCGGGACTGGAACCGGCGCCCATATGGGATGCAGGTGCTTCAGGCCAGGGTGTCAATCCACTGAGCCACAGCGCTGGCCCCTCTTATTTTTAATCTCAACTGTTCAAATGGGTATGACAGTGTCTTGTCAGGTATTGTTGATTCTAATTAATAACTGTTTGGTTACAAGATGCACCATGTTGGGTTTCGGTTGTTAGACATTTGTTAGAACTCCTTTCATGGTCCAGTGTGGTGTGTGGTTGATTTTGATGAATGTTCCATGCAGGTGTGAAAATCAGTTTTATGAAACCAGGAGTTAAATCAGGAGTTGAGTTAGTTGACAGTGTTGTTTCAACACAACATGGCTCTGCTGGTATGTCTTCTTACTCATCCTGCCTGTTGCTGAGACAAGAGTGTTCAGCTCTCTCCAGGTATGAATGTGGATTTGTCTATTTCTCTCAACTTTGCTTTGTTCATTTGCTTCATCCACTCTTAGTTGCTACACATTTAGGATCAATAAACTTCATTGTTTTTTTCTTTTGTCATTTTTGTATTCTGTAATATACTAATCCTGAAGTCTGCTTTGATGTTAATAAAACCATAGCTGCTTTTTAAAAATATTTATTTGAAAGTCAGAGTTATACAGAGAGAGGAGAGGCAGAGAGAGAGAGAGAGAGAGAGAGAGAGAGAGAGTGTCTTCCATCCGATGGTTCATTCCCCAATTGGCCGCAACGGCTGGAGCTGGGCCAATCCGAAACCAGGAGCCAGGAGCGTCTTCCAGGTCTCCCATGTGGGTGCAGGGGCCCAAGCACTTAGGCCATCTTCTGCTGCTATCCCAGGCCATAGCAGAGAGCTGGATCAGAAGTGGAGCAGCTGGGTCTCGAACCGGCGCGCATATGGGATGCTGGCGCTTCAGGCCAGGGCGTTAACCCGCTGTGCCTGTTGACCCTGTAGCTGCTTTTCTTGTAGCTAGTGTTTGTGGGGTTTATTTTTTTCTACCCTTGTTCTTTCGACCTGTGTCTTTATAACTGAATTTTGCGTTTGTAAAGAGCACATTTTTTGAATCTTGCTTTTTAACAATCTGACAATCCCTCTGTTTTAATTGGAGGGTATGACATTTTTATATCTGATAGAATTACTAATAGAGGCTTAATTCTCCCACGTGATATTTATGCTCCACTCATCCCAGTTATTCTTTCTCTCTGCTCTCACTTTCCTGCCCATTTTGGGTGTGTGACATTTTGTAATCATTCCAGTTACCACCCCACACCCCCTTTTCAGCTGCCCTTCCTTGTGGTCTGTTTGTAGTGGCTGTTCTAGAACTCTTCTTACGCTGCTGTGGGCAGGAGACACTGGTCACTACCTCACCGGTGTGTGGGCCACACCTGGGGCCTTTGAGGCAGCAGGCGTGTGGCGGAGCTAGAGGTGAGCCATCAGACGACACTGGTGACACGCACCAGGGCGCCGCGCTTTGCAGTGATGATCTGTGTCTTCACACGGTCTGCCTTCAAACCACACACTGAGAGTATTGCAGAGCCTTGCAGGGCGCGTGAGCCCTCTTGCCACGGCGATTCTGTTCCCTTTTGGTTTTCTTATCTGACATTTTACTTTTTAGTTCTAGGTGTTATAAGCCTCACAATGTGTTGGGGTTTTTGCTTTGGACGGGCAGTAGGCTTTATGTATTTGTGTAAAATTAGCCCGCTGTCAGATGCTCGGTTTCTGCTGCTGAGGCCGCTACTAATGATTTTATTTTTGCTATTTTTTCTTTTCTAGCATTTCCACGTGATTCTTTCATCTTGTTGCCACCACTTCGTTGAAATGCTCCATCTCTTCATGGGTCCTTTAACGTTTGTCTATCATAGGTATTTTGTATTTTATTATCTAAGTTAGCTTTGGATCTGTTGATTCTTTTGTGTATAAACCACGAGATGCATTTGCTTGCAGTTCCCCAAGTCTTGATTTTTTTTTTATTGTATGTTGGATATTTTGTGTGAAAGAAAAGTAGGATACAAAGCAAAGAATGTTCACCTCCCAAAAAAGAGCAAATCCCTCTGTGGGGTGTGAGGCTGGGGTGTGGGGGCTCTGTGTGTGAGGGCTCTGTGTGTGAGGCTGGGGTGTGAGGCTCCATGTGTGAGGCTGGGGTGTGAAGCTGGGGTGTGAGGCTGGGGTGTGAGGGCTCCGTGTGTGAGGCTGGGGTGTGAGGCTGGGGTGTGAGGCTGGGGTGTGAGGCTGGGGTGTGAGGGCTCTGTGTGTGAGGGCTCCGTGTGTGAGGCTGGGGTGTGAGGGCTCCGTGTGTGAGGCTGGGGTGTGAGGGCTGGGGTGTGAGGCTGGTGTGAGGGCTCTGTGTGTGAGGGCTCTGTGTGTGAGGCTGGGATGTGAGGGCTCCGTGTGTGAGGCTGGGGTGTGAGGGTTCTGTGTGTGAGGCTGGGGTGTGAGGGCTCTGTGTGTGAGGGCTGGGGTGTGAGGGCTCTGTGTGTGAGGGCTCCGTGTGTGAGGCTGGGGTGTGAGGGCTCTGTGTGTGAGGCTGGGGTGTGAGGGCTCCGTGTGTGAGGCTGGGGTGTGAGGCTGGGGTGTGAGGGCTCTGTGTGTGAGGGCTGGGGTGTGGGGCTCCGTGTGTGAGGCTGGGGTGTGAGGGCTGGGGTGTGGGGGTTCCGTGTATGAGGCTGGGGTATGAGGGCTCCGTGTGTGAGGGCTGGGGTGTGAGGCTGGGGTGTGAGGCTGGGGTGTGAGGCTGGGGTGTGAGGGCTCTGTGTGTGAGGCTGGGGTGTGAGGGCTCCGTGTGTGAGGGCTGGGGTGTGAGGCTGGAGTGTGAGGTCTCTGTGTGTGAGGCTGGGTGTGAGGCTGAGGTGTGAGGGCTCTGTATGTGAGGCTGGGGTGTGAGGGCTCCGTGTGTGAGGCTGGGGTTGAGAGCTCTGTGTGTGAGGGTTGGGGTGTGAGGGCTCCGTGTATGAGGCTCTGTGTGTGAGGCTGAGGTGTGAGGGCTCTGTGTGTGAGGCTGGGGTGTGAGGGCTGGGGTGTGAGGCTGGGGTGTGAGGGCTCTGTGTGTGAGGGCTGAGGTGTGAGGCTGGGGTGTGGGGGCTCCGTGTGTGAGGGCTCCATGTGTGAAGGCTGGGTGTGAGGCTGGGGTGTGGGGGCTCTGTGTGTGAGGGCTCCGTGTGTGAAGGCTGGGTGTGAGGCTGGGGTGTGGGGGCTCTGTGTGTGAGGCTGGGGTGTGAGGGCTCCGTGTGTGAGGGCTGAGGTGTGGGGGCTCCGTGTGTGAGGGCTGAGGTGTGAGGGCTCCGTGTGTGAGGGCTGGGGTGTGAGGGCTGGGGTGTGAGGGCTCCGTGTGTGAGGGCTGGGTGTGAGGCTGGGGTGTGGGGGCTGGGGTGTGAGGGCTCCGTGTGTGAGGCTGGGGTGTGAGGGCTCCGTGTGTGAGGGCTGGGGTGTGAGGCTGGGGTGTGAGGGCTCTGTGTGTGAGGCTGGGGTGTGAGGGCTCCGTGTGTGAGGCTGGGATGTGAGGGCTCCGTGTGTGAGGGCTCCGTGTGTGAAGGCTGGGTGTGAGGCTGAGGTGTGAGGCTCTGTGTGTGAGGGCTCCGTGTGTGAAGGCTGGGTGTGAGGCTGGGGTGTGGGGGCTCCGTGTGTGAGGGCTCCATGTGTGAAGGCTGGGTGTGAGGCTGGGGTGTGGGGGCTCTGTGTGTGAGGGCTCCGTGTGTGAAGGCTGGGTGTGAGGCTGGGGTGTGGGGGCTCTGTGTGTGAGGGCTGGGGTGAGGGGGCTGGGGTGTGAGGGCTCCATGTGTGAGGCTGGGGTGTGAGGGCTGGGGTGTGAGGCTGGGGTGTGAGGGCTCTGTGTGTGAGCGCTCCGTGTGTGAAGGCTGGGTGTGAGGCTGGGGTGTGAGGCTGGGGTGTGAGGGCTCTGTGTGTGAGGGCTCCGTGTGTGAGGCTGGGGTGTGAGGGCTGGGGTGTGAGGGCTCCGTGTGTGAGGCTGGGGTGTGAGGGCTCCGTGTGTGAGGGCTGGGGTGTGAGGGCTCTGTGTGTGAGGGCTGGGGTGTGAGGGCTCCATGTGTGAGGGCTGGGGTGTGAGGGCTCTGTGTGTGAGGCTCTGTGTGTGAGAGCTCCGTGTGTGAGGGCTCCGTGTGTGAGGCTGGGGTGTGAGGGCTCTGTGTGTGAGGGCTCTGTGTGTGAAGGCTGGGTGTGAGGCTGGGGTGTGAGGCTGGGGTGTGAGGGCTCTGTGTGTGAGGGCTCCGTGTGTGAGGCTGGGGTGTGAGGGCTGGGGTGTGAGGGCTCCGTGTGTGAGGCTGGGGTGTGAGGGCTCCGTGTGTGAGGGCTGGGGTGTGAGGGCTCTGTGTGTGAGGGCTGGGGTGTGAGGGCTCCATGTGTGAGGGCTGGGGTGTGAGGGCTCTGTGTGTGAGGCTCTGTGTGTGAGAGCTCCGTGTGTGAGGGCTCCGTGTGTGAGGCTGGGGTGTGGGGGCTCCGTGTGTGAGGCTCTGTGTGTGAGGCTGGGGTGTGAGGGCTCCGTGTGTGAGGGCTCCGTGTGTGAAGGCTGGGTGTGAGGCTGAGGTGTGAGGCTCTGTGTGTGAGGGCTCCGTGTGTGAAGGCTGGGTGTGAGGCTGTGGTGTGGGGGCTCTGTGTGTGAGGGCTCCGTGTGTGAGGCTGGGGTGTGAGGGCTCCGTGTGTGAGGCTGGGGTGTGAGGCTGGGGTGTGAGGCTGGGGTGTGAGGGCTCTGTGTGTGAGGGCTCTGTGTGTGAAGGCTGGGTGTGAGGCTGGGGTGTGAGGCTGGGGTGTGAGGGCTCTGTGTGTGAGGGCTCCGTGTGTGAGGCTGGGGTGTGAGGGCTGGGGTGTGAGGGCTCCGTGTGTGAGGCTGGGTTGTGAGGGCTCCGTGTGTGAGGGCTGGGGTGTGAGGCTGGGGTGTGAGGGCTCTGTGTGTGAGGCTGGGGTGTGAGGGCTCCGTGTGTGAGGGCTCTGTGTGTGAGGGCTGGGGTGTGAGGGCTCTGTGTGTGAGGGCTGGGGTGTGAGGGCTCCGTGTGTGAGGGCTGGGGTGTGAGGGCTCTGTGTGTGAGGCTCTGTGTGTGAGAGCTCCGTGTGTGAGGGCTCCGTGTGTGAGGCTGGGGTGTGGGGGCTCCGTGTGTGAGGCTCTGTGTGTGAGGCTGGGGTGTGAGGGCTCCGTGTGTGAGGCTGGGGTGTGGGGGCTCCGTGTGTGAGGCTGGGGTGTGAGGGCTCCGTGTGTGAGGGCTGGGGTGTGAGGCTGGGGTGTGAGGGCTCCGTGTGTGAGGCTCTGTGTGTGAGGCTGGGGTGTGAGGGCTCCGTGTGTGAGGCTCTGTGTGTGAGGCTGGGGTGTGAGGGCTCCGTGTGTGAGGCTCTGTGTGTGAGGCTGGGGTGTTAGGGCTCCGTGTGTGAGGCTCTGTGTGTGAAGGCTGGGTGTGAGGGCTCTGTGTGTGAGGCTCTGTGTGTGAGGGCTCCATGTGTGAAGGCTGGGTGTGAAGCTGGGGTGTGAGGGCTCCGTGTGTGGGGGCTCCGTGTGTGAGGGCTCCGTGTGTGAGGCTGGGGTGTGAGGCTGGGGTGTGAGGGCTGGGGTGTGGGGCTCCGTGTGTGAGGCTCTGTGTGCCTGGCTCAGGCGTCCTGATCGTGGGTCCGACGCGGTCACGTGGCTGCCGCAGTGAGCACAGTTCTGTGTCTTCACTTGGGTAAGTGTTTGTGGGACGCGGCGTGCGGGCAGCCTCCGGACTGGCTCCTCTGGTTCCTCTCACACGCAAGGCGCCTGGGCCAGCCGCAGCCCCGTCCGTGAGCGTGCGAGAAGGGGCTCCGCCACTGGCCCTGCCTACCCCTCGCCCCACAGACCACCGCTCCCCACTGTTATGGATAGCCAGCTGTCTGTGGAGGACCTGCGTGCGTGTGTCTGCCTTGTTTTATTTTATTTTATTTTTATTTTGTTTGACAGGCAGAGTGGACAGTGCAAGAGAGAGACAGAGAGAAAGGTCTTCCTTTGCTGTTGGTTCACCCTCCAATGGCCGCCACGGCCGGCGCACTGCGGCCGGCGCACCGCGCTGATCCGATGGCCGGAGTGCTGATCCGATGGCAGGAGCCAGGTACTTCTCCTGGTCTCCCATGGGGTGCAGGGCCCAAGCACTTGGGCCATCCTCCACTGCACTCCCGGGCCACAGCAGAGAGCTGGCCTGGAAGAGGGGAAACCGGGTCTGCCTTGTTTTAACAGTGTGGCCTCCAGCTCCGGCCCCGGGGCCGCAGACTTCCAGCTGCACCACACGCTCTTCCCGGTGGGCACGCTGTGGACGCCGCCGAGGCGTCGGCCCAAAGTCACCGGAGCCGGCCGTGGGAGCCCCGGTCAGACTGCACGCGTGTAGCCCGGCGAGCCGCCCCACGCCGCGGCCAAGCTGAGGGCCCTCTGCCCGCTCCGAGCTGCGCAGCAACCCTAGGCGTCCTGGGGGCTTCGGCCGAGTTCTCTGTCCCTGCTGGCTGAAGCTGCCTCCTCCCGCTCCTGCCTGTCTGCCGCAGGTGAGCAGGGCCCAGGCCTCCCCGGGGAGGGCTCCTCTCTGTCCTGAGATGTGTTCCTTCTTCCCTCCCTCTTCCCACCCTCCGGGCTCAGCTTGCCTGGCTTGTTGGGGCTTGACCTCCTGCGTTGCTGCCAGCTCCCCAGTACCCCTGGTGGTGGCTGGCAAGAGGATATGGCCAGCGTCGGTGTTGGGCGGGCGGGCGCGGTGGACCTGAATCACAGAGGGAAGACTTACACTGAGCGAAGTCAAACTGACAATCCGGAACATTCCAGAAGTAGCTGGGAGGGGCTGCCGGGGCGGCAGGTGCAGCGAGGCGTGCTGTTCTGGTGTTGAGGACAGCTCCCGCCGGGCAGGCCTGTGAGTCATCCCGGTGGCTTCTTTGCAGGTGGCTTGCGTTTTTCTTGAAAGGGCAGCTGCGGCCTGGGGCTGGGACAGTTTGTGGCCTTAGGGAACCAGGCCTTTCGGGCCTCTGCTCCCAGGCCTGCCTGAGCTCGGGGGAGAGGGAAACACAGCAGGGATGTGGGGGGAGGGCAAGGAGCTTTTGGGGGCTGCAGGAGCCTGGCCCTCCACGTAGAGTGGCTGCAGCACCGATGGCCACAGGGTCAACAGCTGGCGCTCGAGTCCACTGGCCCGGCTTTCCTTCAGTCGCCATGCTTCTCTTGTTCACTGGAGGATATTTAGTGATTGCAGCTTGGGAGCCCTGGGGTCACCGTTGGGCCCTGTTTCCTGCCTCGTACTGCACCTGTAGAAGAGAGTGATGTTTCCTGCCTCTTCTGTGCTTGGCGGTGTAGTCGCCAGCTCAGACGGTGCCTGGGAGACAGAGCCCTCGTAAGTAGGGGGGCCTGGAGAAGTCGGAGACAGTGATGGGTGTCACCAAAACTCAGAGAAGTGCAAGCTGTGGGCACACCTGATTAGGGGAGGTGAGGGGACGCATCCCTCGCTGTCATCAGAGGCCTGTGCTGGGTGTTTCCCAAGTGCAGGCTTCCCCGGGGGCTCCCTCCTCCCAGGTGCTGGGGACCCGGAGGGTATCAGGTTTCCACCAAGGTGCTGGGGACCCGGAGGATATCAGGTTTCCACCGACTTAGAACATTCCCTAGACTTCCCTGCTGAGCACCCCCGGCCTGCAAAGCCCGGATCTGGCGTGGGCCTCACCTCGCTGGCCTGCAAAGCCGGGCTCTGGCGTGGGCCTCACCTCGCTGGCCAGTTTCAGCCTGCACTCTCCTGCAGCTTGCCCTTTCTTGCTTCGAAGCTCGTCAGCGGGCACAGCTGCCCTAACCCAGGAGTGCCTGGCGGGCCCTCCGGGCCACTGTTCACTGGGTAGATAAGGGTTGTTCCTGGCACAGGAACAAGGACTTTTAATTGGAAGATAATTTGCTCGCTTAAGTATTTAAGCAAGTTTATTCAGTCGCTACTGACACGGCTCGTTTTCTTACTTGGTGCCTCAGTTTGCTCATCTGTAGAATGGGGTAACAGCGTCTATATCTCATAGGGTCACCGTAAGGATGAAATTGTTCATTTAAAATAGTTTTCACACTGCAAGGACATATAGCTAGGAGTCCGTTAAAGCTGGTTTATATTATTTATTTTTTATTTTTTTTTTTTTTTGTTTTTGTTTTTGACAGGCAGAGTGGACAGTGAGAGAGAGAGAGACAGAGAGAAAGGTCTTCCTTTTGCCGTTGGTTCACCCTCCAATGGCTGCCGCGGCTGGCGCGCTGCGGCCGGCGCACCGCGCTGATCCGATGGCAGGAGCCAGGAGCCAGGTGCTTTTCCTGGTCTCCCATGGGGTGCAGGGCCCAAGCACCTGGGCCATCCTCCACTGCACTCCCTGGCCACAGCAGAGGGCTGGCCTGGAAGAGGGGCAACCGGGACAGAATCCGGCGCCCCGACCGGGACTAGAACCCGGTGTGCAGGCGCCGCTAGGCGGAGGATTAGCCTAGTGAGCCGCGGCGCCGGCCTATTATTTATTTTTGTTTATGAAAGGCCAGTAATTGCTCAGTGTTTCTGAGCACACTAGAGTTTTTTTTTTTTTTTTTTAAGATTTTATTTGCTTATTTGAGAGCTAGAGTTACAGAGAGAAATAGGGAGAGACAGAGAGAGAGGGCTTCCATCCGAGGTTCACTCCTCAAATGGCCGCTGCGGCCAGACCTGGGCTGATCTGAAGCCAGGAGCTTCTTCCGGGTCTCCCACGCGGGTGCAGGGCCCCAAAGACTTGGTCCATCTTCCACTGCTTTCCCAGGCCACAGCAGAGAACTGGATGGGAAGGGGAACAGCTGGGACTCGAACCGGTGCCCATATGGGATGCCAGCACTGCAGGTGGTGACTTTACCTGCTACACCACTGTGGCGGCCCCCAATCTTATCTTTTAATTGCATTTTCTACAAGCTGTTTGCTGTCTCCTCATCTGGTGACGGAGTTGTGATCCGTGCACCTGTCTTGTGACGAGAATTTCCTCAGATGGTGGCTTCAGGTCCCCAGGCTGGCTGTGTTTGTGCGCAGGCCGGGACCAGCAGCTGGGAAGCAACCAGGAGCCCCGAGCTTTGCACCCAGACAGAGGTAAAATCGACGTTCCCCAGAATAGTGACATTTCCTGGATAACCTAGTAGATGTCTAAAAAAATAAAGAAAACTTAAGTTTCAGCTTTTAGCTCCCAAAAAGGTAGACGATGCTGAGGACTGTGAACCAGTGTTTACCAGAACCGTGAGTGGACTGACAGCAGGCTGACCCCGCCCGCTCCTGATACCCTCCTGCGGGAGGGAGCGTGCAGAGTGCACCTGTAGAAATCTGTCCTGCAAAGCCTCACACATTCATGGAGGTGCTCGGAGCTTTGTGGTTGTGTCCATACGAGGCTGAACCTCTTGAATGAGTCCAGCAATTGGCTGGTAGTTACAGAGAAAAGAGGCATTTGGCAGATAAGTATGGTTGGTGAAGCCGTCTGAGCTAGTGGCCAGCTGTGCCGGGGGACTGGGCGTGGTGTCCCTGTCTACTCCATTTAGCTGTAATGCAGAGAGAAGGGACCCCCTGTGCTTCGTGGGGCTCACGTCCCAGTGGCCTAGCACCTGAAGTGGGAGCCCCATCGTCGTGCTGGCTCCTGATGACACGGGGGGCTTCTCACTGCGTCATCACTGGCAGAGGACAGCTTGTGTCATTTGCAGGAGTGGTGGGGGCAGCACTGTGGCCTCCTCTAATCCCAATTCCCCGTGTGCAGATGCCACCCCCTGGGGGTCAGGTTTGCACGTTGGAATTTGGGGACGGGGACACAATTCAGCCCATGGCAAACGCCTTCCTGTGCCTGGCACCGCGCTCACCACCGGAAATACACACAGGAGCTCTCATCCTGGCAGACGGAAACCGACCATTAATGAGTAAGCGAGTAAGAACAGTCTGATCAGTTGCAGACATGGTGACTGCCGTGCAGAATGAGCCGGGTGCCGAGATAGCAGCTCACGGGTGAGAGGTGAGCAGGGCACAAGGGCCTTCTGCTGATGGAGCAGTTAGTCTGAGACCCAGGAGTGAGAAGGCGCAGAGGTCAATGATTAGCCAGCAGAAGGGCACTCCAGGTGCAGGGGCCGGCCAGGGCAAAGGCCTGCAGTGGGCAGGGCCTGGCGCAGTCAGGGAGCAGTGCACAGCCGCCGAAGGTCATGACTGCAGGGTGAGAGCCACACAGGAGCTTGTGCAGGTGGACAAGGTCCCGGTTAGCTGGAATTCTGCCAGTGCAGTGACAGACAGTGATATCAGGGTGGCGTTGGTGCCGTGGCACCGGCTGTGAGTGAGGTAAACTCGGTTACTTCCAGTCCTGTAGAACGTGTGTGGATGATTCAGCTTCCTACGTCTACTCTGCCTACAGGGATGGCCTTGCAAACCCCAACACCTCAGCCCCAGTGGTCATTTAGGAAGATGGGGGTTGGGAGGATGGGGCCAAGTCCACTGTCGCCTGGGACAGGCTTTGTTCCTGTGTTGGTAATGGATTCTGGGAGCATGGGACATCTCTCTGAGCCCCGCTGGGGTAAGCAGCCATGCACAGTGGGGTGACCAGCTAAGACCTGACACCCGTGGACGGGAAACCTGACCCTGCAGGGGGTACGTGCAGCGTGGCTGGCTGTAAGTGACCCTACAGGGTGTGCGTGCAGCATTGCTTGGTTGTATCTGACCCTGCAGTGTGTATGTGCAGGGTGGCTGGCTGTATGTGACCCTTCAGGGTATATGTGCAGCGTGGCTGGCTGTATCTGACCCCGCAGGGTGTGTGTGCAGCGTGGCTGGCTGTAAGTGACCCTACAGGGTGTGCGTGCAGCATGGCTGGGTGTATCTGACCCTGCAGTGTGTGCATGCAGTGTGGCTGGCTGTATCTGAGGCTGCAGGGTGTGTGTGCAGTGTGGCTGGCTGTATCTGACCCCGCAGGGTGTGTGTGCAGTGTGGCTGGCTGTATCTGAGGCTGCAGGGTGTGTGTACAGCGTGGCTGGCTGTATCTGAGGCTGCAGGGTGTGTGTGCAGCGTGGCTGGCTGTATCTTGAGGCTGTAGGGTGTGTGTGCAGTGTGGCTGGATGTATCTGAGGCTGCAGGGTGTGTCTGCAGCATCGCTTTGTTGTATCTGACCCTGCAGGGTGTGTGCAGGGTGGCTGGCTGTATCTGACCCTACAGGGTCACTGCATGGTGACACGCACGCATGCTGTACCCAAGCCAGCCTCAAACCAGCAGACCCAGGGTCTCCTTCCTTGTGCAGCACGGAAGAGCCCGTGGGGCACTCGTGGAGTGTCCTGGCCAGTTCAGCCCCTTCCCCAGCATATCTGCTGCGTGGGAGTAGAGCCCGAGACCGTCTTCCTGGGCGGAGAGCTCTGAGACCTGAGTGCTTTGGGGGGACAAGCAGCTTCTGACCCACGTGTCTGCAGTTTGGAGGGTGAGGTCCAGCGACTTGGAAGGACTTGGAGCTCCGCATGGACAGTCTTTGATTCGACCACTTGCTGATAGAAATCATCGAACGTAGTACAGTCATCTTAAGTGCTGACTGAAAATATGCATTGTCGCTTTAGAGTCGGAGCTGAAGAAATGCACAGTGGAAGGAGAGGGAGTGGTTGGACGTCTGTGAGAGCAAGACAGACTGGCTGGTTTGAGGGATGGCGCGGATGTGACCGCCATTTACCTGCATGCGTCACTCAGGGCCCTGGGGAGCGCGGCCTGAGGTGGTCAGGTCCTGGGGCCAGTTCTCAGGACCCTGAATGGCCACCCAGGGAGGACACGGGGAGTTAGTGGATACCGTTGTCATTTTACTTCTGGAAATAGGCCCTTCTGACTTTCTAATCCTTACAACAATCCAGATTATACTCTACAGCGGTTTCAGTACCTGTTGCTTATAATGCAGTATAATTAGATTTATTTTGTTTATTTATTATTTATATTTTATTATTGAATATTTCCCCAAGCCTCCCTAATAGGTGTGGTGGTCATTTAATGCAGTATTTAAAAGCCATATGTTTTACCACACTTAGAAAGAGCCACAGACACTGACCGCCTCGGTGTCTGCATCCCACGCGTGGTGATGCCACAGACCCTTTGGGGCGGTGGTCTCAATCCTGAGCCAGAGGAGGAAAATGGGTGAGGGAGTGGCAGAAGGACGCAGTGAACAGTGTGTTCTGCCTGCTTGCCCCGCCCAGTGTTACTCACTGGACTTCACGTCAGGAGGGACGTCACAAGGGGACCGTGCACATGGGAGTAGCAAAGGTCCAGGCCCCACGTCAGGCCAGATGCGTTGCAGGGAGGGGTCAGTGACCCTGTCTGATTCACAGCTGCTGATTCTGTGTTTCCTTTCCTGGCTTCTCTGCCAATCTGCCATTCATTCATCTGTCTATCTGTCTTTCTATCTGTCTGTCCAGCCGTCCATTAGTCCATCCATCCATCAGTCCATCTGTCAGTCAGTCCATCCATCCATCTCTCCATCTGTTCATCCATTTGTCCATCCATCTGTCCATCCATCAGTCCATCTGTCAGTCTGTTCATCCATCCGTCCGTATGTCTGTGCATCTGTCCATCCATCCATCTCTCTATCTGTTCATCATCTATCCATCCATCTCTCCATCTGTCTATACATCAGTGCGTCCATCCATCAGTCCATCTGTCAGTCCGTCCATCCATCAGTCTATCTGTCAGTCTGTCCATCCATCTGTCCGTATGTCTGTGCATCCATCTGTCCAGCCATCTCTCCATCTGTTCATCATCTATCCATCCATCTCTCCATCTGTCTGTATATCAGTCCGTCCATCCAACTGTCCATCCATGCATCTCATTGAGTCCCACACCTCATCCTAGGATCCTTTCTTGACTTCTCTTGGTCTCATTTTCAAGAATACAGGAGAATGGGCCACTAGCAGCTTCTTCTGGGAGTGGAACCAACGTGTTCACTTGGACTTGCTCCCCCAAACCCTGTCTGAAGGCACAGCCTGGCCCGCTCAGAACACCCTGGGCCAGACTCCTGCCAAGGGCCCTGCCTCAGGGCAGGGCCAGGAAGGGACTCCGCTTTGCTGAAGTTGAGCCAGAATCACTGTGAAGCAGGAAAAGGGAGTTCAGCAGTGCTGTTGTCATCTGGAGGAGGACTGTCCTGTGGAGACATCCGCCTGCTGCACGCGGAGCTCATGTGTGGCTGTCTCGGCGGGCCAAGCGCAGGCTGGTAGGTGCTGGGTGCAGAATCAGTGGAGCCCTGGCTCTCATTGCCGTGTCAGTGCTGTCATGCATGGGAATGCTGTCTTAAAAGTGAGGCTCCAGGGACTCACTGCCTTAACTTGCTCCTGGCCCTGCCATTCTTTGTTTACTGTGCCCGCCTCCCTACTGCCCTAAAGGCTCCCCTCTCTCGTCAGTTGGGAAGCTGTTGCTCTCCCATGCTGCACAGTGCACGTGTCCCGTGCAGGCTCTGAGTGTGTGCAGTGCAGACATCCTGTGATCCTGTGCAACCCTGCATTGCCCAAGCATGTCAGACGGTGGGATTCTTTTTTGTTTTGCTTTTCTTTTTTTAAAAAAAGATTTGCTGATTCATTTGAAAGGCAGTAGGTGAGTAAGGGTGAATGGGAGAGAGGGAGATCCTCCATCCGCTGGTACATCCCTCAAGTGCCCACAGCTAACGGGCTGGGCCAGGCCAGAACCAGGAGCCTCAAACCGCTGCAATATGGAAATGTCGTTGTCGCAGGTGGTGGCTTAACCGCCGTGCCGCAGCAGCAGCCCTGAGTAAATACGAATCAGCCACTCGTGGGACGTATGAGGGCGTTGCTGAAGAAATACCTCGCCGTGCTTATGTATGCTCATTATTATTTTTTACAGATTTTTTTTATTTATTTGAAAGATAGAGACAGAGGTCTTCCATCTTCCAGTTCACTTCCCAGATGGCTGCAATGGCTGGAGCTGCGCCAGTCTGAAGCCAGGAGCCAGGAGCTTCTTCCCGGTCTCCCACGTGGGTGCAGGGACCCAAGCACTTGGGCCATCATCCACTGCTTTCCCAGGTCATAGCAGGAAGCTGGATTGGAAGAGGAGCAGCCGAGACTAGAACCGGCGCCCATATGGGGAGCCGGCACTTCAGGCCAGGGCGTTAACCCACAGCGCCAGCCCTGTGCTCGTTATTTTCAAAAGTGCTCTTTGCTGAACGGCAGAATCTCTGTGTTGCTTGCTATTCTGGGTTTGGATTAATTTGCAAGTTACACGGAGCCTGCCAGCATCCGAACCAAGGATGCAGCTTTTCCACTCCTTGAGTCACCCTACAGTGATTAGGCACTTACTGTATGCCAGGGCTACAAGGGGATCGGGACGGCCCGACGTGGGCAGAGGCCTCTGCAGCCACAAGTCCACGTGCAGCCCGGGAACTGCGGCCAAAGGCGAGCAGCCGCAGTAGCGCCCCTGAGGGCTCCGGCGCGTTCCTGGCGAGAGTGGCGGCTGGCCAAGGAAGGGCTGCCCGAGGTGCGTCTCAGTCTGTAACGCCGCGTAGCAGCCACATGCGTGACCGGCGCTCAGTAACTGTCCAGCAAGTGATGAGGCGCGGGGAGCTTCGCTGACGGGTGTTTCGGGGGACCCCTGTGTCAGTGTGTGCCTCGGCAGAGTGGGGTCCCACAGGGTCAGACCAGGGCGCTTGCAAGGCCGCTCTTACATTCCTTGGCCAGTCAACTACGGAGTTACGCCTGCGCTTCCCTGGGGATCGTCCCCAAACTGGCCGGCAGCGGCCCGCTACGATTTGTCTACAAGGCCGCTTAGAGGTCTCCTGGCTCCCTCAGGCGTGCTCCCACTTGTGGGACTGTGAATTTGAGAAGATGAGGTAAACACATATGCAGGTCAAGAACCTGCATATACACACAGATAAAACACTCACCATGACACAGCCAGACGGCACTACAGTGTCACACACATACACCATGACACAGCGTACATAGCACATGTAGTGTTACATACCACAGCATGACAGCATACACAGCACAGTGTTACACACTCACACCATGACGCAGCACACGCAGCGTTACACACTTATACCATGGAACAGCATATACAGCATGTACAGTGTTACACACACTGAAACAGCACACATGGCACACACAGTATAGTGCTACACACTCATACCATGACACAGCATACACGGCACATACAGTGCTGCACACACACACATACGCACACCCCATGACACAGCATACATGACCTGTACAGTGTTACACACACACACACATCATGACGTAGCATAGACAGCATGTGCAGTGCTGCACACTCACACCATGACACAGCAGACACAGCAATGCAGTGTTACGCCATGAAACAACATACACAGTATGTGCAGTACTACACACTCGCACACCCACCCCAAGACACGGCATACGTGGCATGTTCTGTATTACACACTCACACTGTGACACAGCATACACAGCACAATGTCACTCAAACCATGACACAGTCTACACAGCACGTACAGTGCTGCACACACACACACACACACACACACACACACCGTGACACAGCATACACAACACCTATGGTGCTACACACAACATGACACAGCATACACAGAACACACATACTGTGACACAGCATACATGGCACATGCACTATTACATACACCATGACACAGTATACACAGCACATACAGTGCTACACATACACATACACACACCCCATAAAATAGCATACATGGCATGTGCAGTGCCTTACACACTCTGATACAGCATATGTGGCACGTGTAGTGCTACACGCACCATGACACAGCATACACGTCATGTACAGTGTTGCACACTCACACCGTGACTCAGCATACACGGCACATATAGTACTACATACTTACACTGTGATACACCGTGACACAGCACACGCACTATTCCATACACGCACCATGACACAGCATACACGTCATGTACAGGTTACACACTCACACCGTGACTCAGCATACACGGCACATATAGTACTACATACTTACACTGTGATACACCGTGACACAGCACATGCACTATTCCATACATACACCACGACACAGCGTACACACATGTACAGCATTACACACTCACACCGTGACTCAGCATACACGGCACATATAGTGCTACATACTTACACTGTGATACACCGTGACACAGCACATGCACTATTCCATACACGCACCATGACACAGCATACACGCATGTACAGGTTACACACTCACACTGTGACTCAGCATACACGGCACATATAGTACTACATACTTACACTGTGATACACCATGACACAGCACATGCACTATTCCATACATGCACCATGACACAGCATACACGCATGTACAGTGTTGCACACTCACACCGTGACTCAGCATACACGGCACATATAGTACTACATACTTACACTGTGATACACCATGACACAGCACATGCACTATTCCATACATACACCACGACACAGCGTACACACATGTACAGCATTACACACTCACACCGTGAC